CACCACCCTAAAAAAATCCACAAGAAGAAACAGCACCAGCAGCAGCAGCAGCAGCAGTAACAGCAGTGGCAGTAACAGCAGTGGCAGCAGCAGCAGTAACAGCAGCAGCAGTAACAGCAGCAGTAACAGTAACAGCAGCAGCAGCAGCAGCAGCAGTAACATCATGAAACAGATGCAGATCAGGAGACTTCTTCTGTGTCTCCTTACAAGTGGACTGCAGCTCCTGACAGACGTCGGAGCATTAGCATGGGAAATGCAGAGTAATTGCTAAAAATCACCTAATTGATTAATGATTGGCCGCTGCCATTGTAACATCAGCTGTTATTTACATTCAGTGTGGGAAGCACAGCGGTCAGCATCTAATGATTGAAAATTCCCTGGCCAGCAGCTTTTCAAATGACATTTACAAAAAAAAAGTCAAAGTAAATCTTGTGCATATTTCCTGGTGATCAATCAGAGCAGACAGTGACGAACGGCACTGCAGCAGCTTCACACACACAGATCATCACCTGATGACCATCACTCACAGCTGCCCTGGTGACGTCTACTGGAGGTTGGTGTGTGTGTGTGTGTGTGTTTAATAATCCACTCGACGTTGAAAACATAATCAAAGTTCACGTCTCAAACCTAAAAACTCACTCAGCCTCGGAGTTTTTCCCAAATGCGGCTGAAATTGATCCGGTGATTTGCATTTCAAGGTTAATGAGAATCATATAAACTGCACCGACTCAGATTCATCATCACAGCCTTTGTTTTGTTCATTGAAAGGTGGTTATTGATCAGTTTGTCCTACAGTAAATCCTGTTGACTGTAGATAAAGTCTCCTAAACCCTGGACATCACTGGACACTGCTGACGTCTCTGCTTTATGTCCTACAGTTTGACAGTTGGTTGATCTTTGTCTTCCAGCGTGACTTTTATACACACTTCTATGGAATACTGTTATATACTACTGCAATACTACTACTACCAGTACTACTGTTGATCAGGTTCAAACCAGTTCCTGGGGTCAACTCCACGTGTCCAGTTTGTGTTTGTGCGTAGCGCAGCAACTTTGTTGTTCCTTTGTATTTACTGTAAAGTGACTGTAAAGTTTCATTATTGTTCAGACTGAAGTTGCATTTCCTCCGCCTGCTGTGTTGACTCGGAGTCTAACAATATGCACGGACGAGTGTGTGTGTGTAAGAACTGGAATGGCTTGTTGGGAAAATACACAAAAAAACCTGCTGTGTATTTGTTGATGGTGTGAGTTAGGGGTAGGGGGGTTGGGGGGGGGGTGAATGTGTAATTGATTGCGACAGTGGTAACCTGCAGTGCTGAATTAATAAGTGGTTAAAAGAGAGAAGATCAGAATTGGACTCCGACCTCGAGACAAACGTGGTCTGTTATTGACACAGAACAGCAGCTTTGTCCCCTGCTGTTCATTCTGTTGAACTGCACTGTTTTGGTTTGCTTTGTTTTTACCATAGATCCACATTGTGTGTCTGTCCTCATCGAACCTCTCTAAGTTTGGACTGTGAAATGGGCATGTTGACGGGTGTGTGGTCAGAACCGTGGCTGACCACAGACTTTTGGCTGAGATGAAAAAACCGTCATCCTGTTTTCCTAGGTGATGACATCACACACCTACAGATCTCAGTCCAATGAACGAGGCGAAAAGACGGGCGACCCCAAACCTTAGTTAGATTATTATTATATCATACTATACATCAGACTTCAGTGAAGCGTCAAGAGTATTAGTCATTCTACAGACTTCCCATGATGCATTTGACCATTGTGTCAGTCAGCCTGTCAGCCGTAGACTTACTGACTGCCTTGACCCCAAGGGTCTGACCTGAGGTTTAAGCCTCAGACAGTGTTTTAACCTTTAGATGCTAAGATGAAAACAAAGCTTCCCCACAGTGTGTGTAAATTACAATATGCATATTAACTAAGGGTGAAAGAAAATATCAATATACTGAAATATTACAATGTTTTGTTTCACGATCCCGTATCAAACTCCTCAGTCATTGATCAGTTATTGATTTTTTCTCACCAATTCCCAGGTGTTGGTTCATGTTCTTTTTCTTTTCTTTCTTGATTCCAAATGTAGATCCCTCTGTTCCAGTGTTAGGAACTGACGTTCAGATGGAACAGCAGCAGAGTGTTTGACAGTTTTCCTACAATTTAATTGTTAAAAAAACCTGAATATATCATCTGGCCTATAGTATCGCAATATATCATACCGTTGCCCCAGTATCGTGATACACATCGTGTCCCCAGATTCTTGACAAAATACACATCTAGTATCAACTGTGTATTTTAATTTAACTGATTATAAAAGAAATGATCGCAGTTAAGTCGTTCACTTGGACAGCCCTCATTTAAAGGTTGGAACAAAACCTAAGGTTCCGACGTTGGGGTTAAGCACCTGATCCCAGACAACAAATACATCACAGTCTGCTCCTATTTTCAGCTCTGTCTGAATGTCTTAATTCACATTTGATTTTCAGTCGAGGCCAGAGCTGTGAGCTTACATCCCCAGTGTGAGACTGTAAATAATCAGAGGATCCCCGGGGAGCGACTGCATAAAACACTGCGGTTATCAGACCTCGGCTCCTGCCAGAGGCATAGCTTAACCACGGACTCCTCAGCGCCGTCAAGCACAGGCGATATCCTGGATATCTTTGTTTATCTACAGTAGAACACAGAACACCACGTTAGCAGACAGCCGTACTGACAAGATGGTTACAAGCCAGTGTCGGGAGGACTGCCGTACCAAAGAAGATTTTTTTAACTTGTATTTGTCACTATAAAGGACGCCTGACTTACGCTTTATGAAACAAATCTTTCCATTGTTTGTTGCAGCTATAACAAGTCCTAAGCAGTACCGAGAGAAATACTTGACAGAACAAGGACAACAACAACAAAAATCCTTTTTGATCCTGAGATGCTCCACATTGTTGGAGGTTCTCCACATTTCTTCTGAGGCTCTTGTGTTTAAAGGCAGTTGAATTGGTTTTTAAATATGCCTTTCCTCCAGAGGTACCAGCCTCTTGTGATGTGACCCGCATGACTAACTCCATTTAAAGGCAAATAACATGCATTAGGGCTCGCACTTTTCTGCCTCACATTTGCATAATTTTGTTTGGCAACTTGGAAAAGGGCCATTAACAGCACTGACACACACACACACACACACACACACTGTAAAGGCTAAGGACGGAGGCTGATCAATACGTTCTATCAACATCTTAAGCAGCATTGCTGTCCACATCAGGATACATTCACTAATTCAGATTAGGGCAGGGGTCACGTGATAAGAGAACACGTTCACTCGATCAATATTCTTTTTACTTTTCTGTTTCAAAGACAAGATTGATCGTTAGCAGTTACCCCCCCCCCCCGTTATTGTTTCAATTAGTGACTCTTTATTGGGGTCGGCATTAAGAACACTGACCCCTGTGATTTACATGAAAAACCAGATGTTTAGAAGAAAAGTCCACGACGCTGGGCGGGTCAAAAAAAAAAGACTTGTCATTGGTGGGGGGGGAGGGGGGGGGGGGCAGCAGTGGGAGGCATGTGGACGGTGTAAGTCATGTCAGCGAGGAGGAAATAATCACAGCGTTACCTTCTCATGAATTATTA